CCGGCCGTTTCCACGGCCCAGCAGGAAAGTCTTCCCGCTTGGGCCAGTCCTTCCGGCCGATACTGCAAGGATTTGGTCTCTACGGGTGTTGGCCGGCACGATTAAGTGCCCCTGCATGTGAACGTGAATGTGAAGGATAGCGCATTGGGTCGGGTGATTCCGATGACCAGGTGGGGGCAGTCCAGTCTATGGTTGGGATAGCGGCCCCAGGAGGACCCACGATCGTCTTGCTGAACATACCATTGCCTTCGGCAGATAATATCTCTTCGGAGAGGGGACGCGGGTCGTGGTGATTCCGAGTGCGCTTGAACGGCCTTGCTGGATGCCTTATTTCTGGGCCGGTGGGAACGTGAACCCCAACTGGAGCCCCGATGACGCTTGCGGAGCGGATGAAAAAGAGAGGGATGACGCCCTCCATCCATCCATCCATCCATCCATCCATCCATCCATCCATCCATCCATCCATCCATCCATCCATCCACCCATATTAACAAATAATATATCGTGTTATATCAAATTGGATATTAGAGTATTCTATGTTATATCATATAGTACTCTAAATCTTATTTTTATACCCGATTACATTATGCTGTGTTACATTATGTTTTAGAATTATACTTTACCAACACCGAGTAATGGAGATTTTGACAGTTGCAATGACAGAGGAGCCTCTGCATAGGCCCACGACATGGAGATGGACAATATTTCCAGAATGGCTGGTGTGTAGTGCAAAGTGCTCCATTGGATACTAACTTGGCTCCGCGAACACTGAGTGGGCGAAGTTCTGGTGGCTGCAAGCGGATGGTACCTGACGCGGCACCCAACTGGAAACTACAGCAGCGTACAGTACAGTACAGTACAGTACAGTACAGTACAGTACAGTACAGTACAGTACAGTACAGTGTGGAGAACTTGGAAAGCTTGATGCAACCTTTTGCAGACAGCATCCAGGCCGACGTAACATAACATGTGCTGGTGGAGCCTCTGCATAGGTTGTGTGTCGGGAAAGTGCAGTGAGGTAGACTTGGAAAACTACATGCAACCTCTTGCAACACTGTGTCCATGGCGGCTGACCTGACCCTGCCAGTACCGCCTGTTGGAGCTCATGGAAGACACAACAAGTGCTGGTGGAACCTCTGCATAGGCTGTGTTTTGCGAAATGGTACCGGACGTGGACGTTTTCGGGATGCTAGCTCCGTTTCTACGCGGACTTTGACAGAGCAATGCGGGAGCTGTCGCAGAAAGGCACTGCTGGGACCCAGAGTCCTGTTGGTGTTGGCCGAATTCTGCAAATGAAACCTGTGAGGAGGCATACTTGGGCCTGCTCAGTTCCTGCCAGCTCCGTTTCTGCACACACTGCGTCCGGGCAATATGGGCTTTGGTGTAGGAAAACACTGCTGGGACCCACAGTCCTGTTGGTGTTTGCCGAGCTTTGCCAATGGAACCTGCGAGCGAGATGCTTGGACCTGCTTGGATTCTGGCTAAGTGCGTACGGTACACCTTTGGTGAAGAGACGCAGCAGTGAGTGCTGTGAGCGTTTAGTTGTAAGCCTGTTTCATGTGCTGAGCGAACTTGGTGCTGAGCTAGCAGCAGAAAGGCGGGATATGTAGGCCTGCAAGTGTCAACTGGCTGCACCTTTCCTTTTGGATTGCCTTGCTTTAGATTTCTTCGTAGCTGCGACATTCCAGTTCCGGAGTTCCCGAATCGGACATGTGACCTGCCATGCAGTGTCAGCTCGCTGACGGTGCCAAGTGGGAGCCAAAAATTATGCTTTAAAGAATATTATATTATACTACAGTCTATTTTACGTTTTATTATTTTACAATACATTATATCATATTATGATATATTGTATTATGTCATGTTGTATTCTATTTTGTTTTATTTTACTATAGTCTGTTACATTATATTGTACTACCTCATGTTGTACTTTGGTATATTGTACCATATCAAACTGGATTCTGCAAAAGTGTATTGTATTGTATTGTATTGTATTGTATTGTATTGTATTGTATTGTATTGTGTTGTGTTGTGTTGTGTTGTGTTGTTGCGAGGTTGTGTTGTATTGTGCTGCATTATTTTGTTATCTGCATGCATGTATGTCTGCATGTCTATATGTGTGTGGGTGATGTACGTATGCATTCACGTAGACATAAACATCTGTGTATCCCAGCCGAGATGTCGCTATGTGGTGTCTATTTATGTAGAGTATAGTTTCAGCGATGTAGACAAGGACTGGTTGCCGAGGTGCAGCGAATTGGTGAAGTTGCAGTGAAGTTGTCTCGCTCGTGCAAGTGTCCGCGGCTGCCAATCGTTCGCCGGTGCACATACTCGGGACAGCGTGCTGCTTTCGTCCAATGTTCAGGCCTGATTGGCATGCATTGTGGCAGCTTGGCTGCGGCAAAAGTGCTGTCGGCCAGCTTGGTCGTATGCATTCGAAATCAAGGGCAAGGTTGCAGCTTCAGGTTTCCTTGTCAGAGATTCCAGTGTTTTGTTGACGCTCGGAGCTCGTAGGTTGAGAGTTGCGCACGTGTCAACACGTCCGGAACCATCCTTCGAACATCTCCAGGCTCGGTAGCTGGTGGCTTCGCCGGTGTGGCGACCACCCCACTGGACGCAGCGAAAACACGGATCATGCTGACAGCAACTTTGCAGAAGCATAGAATCCAACAGCCGTTCTTTGCCTCACCACCAGCCCCCAAGTGTTGCAGCTGCCAAGGCAGATCCTGGACGTCGACTAGGTCTCTGGTGCACCATGCGCGCCATTTGTCAGGCCTCTCTGTGAATCAGCCGGGCGGTGTCGACGATAGGATTTGCAGGGTCATGTGGACCGGCGATGTGACATCCTACTTCCTACAATTTCGGACGCGGTCGGTGGGTGCAAACGCGAACCTAGTGGCAGCTCCCGTAGCCGTGCCTCTTGCGCTGGAAGAATTTGACTTCGATCGCCAAGGCAAGGAATCCGAATGAGCTCGTTTGTTTGCTTCAGTTTCTTTGGCCACAAAATGTCAGTATGGCAGACCCTTAGAAAGCTGTGCAGCTGGCGACGCTGCAGGAGAATGGAATGTCAGGACTTTTCCGTGGAGCTCTGCCGAGGGCTTTGCACTCAGGCACGGGCTCCCCAATCGTCTTTCTGGCAAGGAGTGTCTGATGCTTCCATGCTGGTAGGCTTGGGCGGAGCCTTGTGGCTCGGTGCCTTCGAGTGGTCGAAGCTGCTACTTTGGGTATAGCAGTAGCAGTCCAGCTGTAACTTCGTGGCAAGGGAGAGATCAGGCTTTCTCTCAGAGAGCAGGCGACGTCTGTAGCAGACTCTTCCAAGGCTCTCAGGCCGGGCCTTCCAGGGATCGTTCTAAGAACGTCCAGTGGCCGTATTGTCAGAAGGGAAATATTGCATAAGCATTAGCCAAACAAAGTGTTGGGAAAGCACCGACAGCCCTTTTTGCAAGGGCAGTGAAGCTTTGCATATCTCCGCTGCGACCTCCTGAAAAGGGCTTATCACTGTGGCAGTATCGGCGATGCGTCTCTGTGCCAATATGGCGCGGGGGCGACACCGGTGCCATAGGACAGTCGACTTGAGCCATGCGTTTTCGCAGCAACTCATGCGGCACGCAAAAGACTGCTTTTCAAATGTTTTCATGGTCATGTTCCTCCAGTCGCACACAGCCACGCCTTGCTCCCCTTGATGATCGAAAGAGAGGAGCAAGGACAGCAGCAATGATTATTTAATTATTGGAGAAACCTTCGTAGCGACTCTGCCCTGCTTGTCGGGTGAGGGGGTAGAGAAAGAAGGTGCTGCTCGAGGCGGATATTTTAGCAGCATTGAGCTGGAATTCAAAACGAGTACCACGTCAGGAAGTCCGCCAGTCGTAACGGAAGGGTCCAAGGAGCGGCGCCAAAGAGCGTGAACAAACGCCGAGCGTGGAAGCCCTGCCATCCGCCCCAGACATTAGGATCGCAAGAGCTCGGACTCGATGGCTTTGGGCATTCGAGATCATTGGAGGCAGGTCTTGCTGTGATCCTGCCTCGGCAAGGGCGTGCGTCCTACCAGCTGCCGCGGAATGAGATCAACAATCAGCAAACGGCAAAGGATTTCTCAGCACAAAGTTAAGCATGTTGCCTGCCATCACCAGGATGCAATATCGGAATAATCAAAGCCACGAGCTGAACTCTTGTGCCGCATGCTCTTGCTTTTTGTTCCAAAGCTTTAGTTAGCCATGTAAAGGTCACGTTCGAGCGACTTCAATGTCTCGATCCCGAATTAGCAAGCAGACGTCCCGACCTTCATTGTCACGGTATGAAGAACTCAAGTTTGCGCAGCATGATCGGAACTTTTCGTAGGCGTTTTGTGTCACATGGTCGTGCTTGATGCGGCTCCTCGGCCCACTCCTCTTTCTCCAGTTCCCGAGAGCAGCACCGGCAGTCAGAGCATTCATGGCTTAGGCGTGCCCGGAGCGGCTCCGTTGTCCATGTGTTTGCATGTAGAACTGGCAGCTCATATAAGCTTGCATCAGGGGCAGCGCGCTCCTACCGGCAGCTGCCACCAGTTTTGGAAGGAGCGAAGTGATGGGTTAGTGTTGGGTGCACTGCCCCAGCAAGCGCAGGAGATGTTACTGTTCCTTCCCACCGGACACCGGAATCCTCTCCGTCGGCTGCCAGTCTAAGCGAGGAGCTCACTTCCAAGAGTCCACGGGAATTGATATGAACTTTCGCCATTTTCCAAGGCGCGAACGACACATACAAACTCGCAGTGGAAGCCTGGCCTTCTGATAGCGAGGTGCTAGAACTGCTAGAGGAAGCATTCAACATTAAGATTCAGTTTGACCTGCCACGTTTTTCGAGCAGGCAAGCGCGACGGAGTCCACAGTCACAACAGCAATCTGGACTGAATGGCACACTAGCCTCAAGTTTCAATCGGGCATTAGTTCTGTTCGACTGCGACTGAGGCCAGCATTGCGGAGTCTGCACAGGCTGCAGCAGTGTCCAAGAACAGTGTTCGACGGATGACGGAGCCCAGCGTTCAGCCGGCGAATCACAGCTGAATTGACTGTTTTGTTTGTCGCAGTGGGTCATGTCGCTCGAATGTGCTGCAAGGCCGATCCCTGCCCCTCGGTTTATGTGCTAGAAGCCTGCATCTCATAGAGCAAGGAAAAAAAGTCCTCGAAGCTCTGTGCTCGGCAACTCGGCAGCAATATGCACCACGGAATTTGCGCTTGGAAGCCCCTCATGTTTGCGGAAGGCAAGCCACAGCCTTCAAGCAGGAAGCTGCCTCTTGGCCTTGTCGAAGGAAGAGTCAATGAGTCGAGCAGTCACCGGATCACCGGAGACTGCCAAGGAGCCGAGCATCACCGGGAGCGGCGAGCTCCGGTGAGTTCAAGAACCTTCGTGTGGATGGCTTGGAGGAGCCGATGCTTGGCTCGCGAAGCCGAAGGTCATCTAGAATCTAGAGCCCGGGTCAGGTGGGAAACCCGGTTGCAGCTTCCGTGATTCTTGCCGAGGAACTCATCTGTCAAGCAAAGGGCCATGAGGCACGGCATCTTCACAGCTGCGAGAAGAAAGGCCGTGTGCACAGGAAGTGAGGTGTTTCTTTTAAGGCGCGCGGCGTCGGAACCTCCGCGATCTCTTGGCGGAGAAGTTCGCAAGTCAGGACATTTCGAACGATGACGCTGCCATGCTGGTTCAGTTTCCCCATCGACAAGTCCAGACAGTACGTCCTGATGTTTCGTTGCCCGCAACCTCCCTACAGAAGCGGTGTATGAACGCAGGATCGCCACCTCCACGGCAGTCCCAGGTTTCACTGGCCACGCCTCCACGAACAAAGCGGGCCTCCATTGGCGAACGTCCAGGCCAGGCTTACGATCGCCAGCGAAGAGCTCTCGTGTCGCACTGAAAGCTGAGTATGCCAAGTATGCCAATGCAAATAACAGCAGGCGTGTTGGTTAGCAGTAACTACCCTCCATGTCTGATGGATCGAAAGGCACAGGAACCCTCGCCACGGTGGCTTTGATGCCTGTTTTGTAGGCCGTGCCTCCGTCCCAAGACTGGCAGAGTCTCTTCGGCACCAGCGGCGGAAAGCAAGCGAAGCAGTGTTCGCACATTTCGGTCAAGCCGGGACAAAAATGCAAGCATGATCAACAGGTGTGAGAAAGTACAGGTGCTGCAAAATGGCTCAACTTACAGTTGTGGATTTTGAGTTTCTCTGCATGGGCTGGGGTCGCAAAAGCGTGATAGGAGTTGGAACGACGAAAAGGCCCAGGTGCTGAACCCTGTTGCAGCTCGCATGCAGGCAAGCTGCAAAAGAGCCCGCAACCCTCCACAGCCGAAGCCCAAGCTGAAGTCGTGAGGGAGAGTAGGCACACCGACTTGCGAATGATGATCTGTGGACCGGAGATTGAGGCTAGCCGCGAGTCCAGCCTGCGAAATGCAACACAGAAGCCAGCGAACGCACGGCTTAGTGCCAGCAGCAGCTCAGCTTGCAAGTCGTGCTCATGTCTCAGTCGTGGGGAATTCGGTGGTTCAAGGACACATTGTCACGCAGGGTTCTGCAGCCGTCTGGTCCAACGGTGTATGCCACGAGGGCTTACTAATCCTGCCGGAGTAAGAGACTTGATGTGCATTGATGCCACACCTACCAAGCCTCAACAACAACAAGTCACAGTGCGGCCAATCCAGAGGGGGAGCTTCGCATCCTGAGTCTCGTTACCAAGCAGCTTTTGCGGGCATGACACATGCCGAGCCCTTCTGCCGACGACCTGAAGTGTTACATCCAGGAGCGGCTCCGCCCCACCAGCTCGATCCTGACATCTCGGGCGTAAGGGGTAGTACATGGCCCCAGGCGCAAAGGCATGAAGAAGTTAGTTTCAGATGAGCACGAAGCAAGTCTTTGCAACATCTTGAACGAGTAGCCAAGCTGAATTCCGAATATGGGAGATGTCGTTGTACTTCAACCATGTCTCCAGGATGGCTTTCGTCGTTCAACCGAGCTTTTGGATTCGAAGCTCATCACCGCCGAGGCTGAGAGCAGCCTCAGTCCAAGAGCAGCTTTGCTGTTAGCCAACATGTCTGCTTTTCGCAGGCCGGTGAGTTCGAGCAGATTCAATTTCCCGAGGGCTTTATCACCGAGTTGGTTTGTGCTCGCTATGGCACGCTGGACACGCATTTCAAGGACGGCAGAAAACTGTCTTCCGGACCTAGTCTGCTGTTACTAACACTGCAGAAAACTGTCGATTCGAGGACTGGGCTGATGTCACCGATCAGACTCGCGAAGATCTTCTGCAAGGCGAGCAGTTTGGACGTGCCGGCACGGACACATTCCGTGATATTTCGAGGCAGGGCGGTGCCGGTGACCAATGAGAGGATGGGCCTCGACCCCAAAATCGGCTGCAGGCCATATGGGAGGGTAAGCGGCAGCTGCATGATACACCTTGGTCAGGTCAACCTCACACTGTATCCGGTTGTGTTGGGCAGGAAAGTCTTTCGCATCCAGTACAAGCATTCGACGAACTTGGTGGAGGTTGTGGTGCAGGAAGGTGAAGGCCTGCAAGTGTCATGATTTTCAATGTGCTCGCAGATGGGGGTACATCTCTTCGGCAATTGTCGAAGGTCTGGAGCTTCCACCCGGTAGCGCAGAGGGACACTTGCCATTGCCAGCAAGCTTATGGCCTTATGGTGCACAGTGTAGAGATTGCTTGCTGTTAGAATCCAATTGTCATGGTGAGCCACGGCTATTCAGGACTTGTATGTGCAGTCTACGGCATTTCTGACAAGGTAGTTGATGTGACCCTTGGCAGCAGCATGCTCCTTTTTTGTCCTTCTGCTTCGGTAGCCAAGTCAGCGATTTGCTTCGGGCCTGCGGACTTTCCAGGATCGCCCCGCTGAGACAGCTGATGTTGAGCGGCCAGCAAGTCACCGTCTCTAACGAGGATGGATTTGTTGGAGGTACGAGATGACCTCAACCCAGCCCCAACAGACCTTCCTTTGGGAGGAGTTTGGCGTTGACCCGGCTCCCGGAAAAGTGAAGCAGCTGCGAGTGCAGTATCAGTCGTCTCCCAGATCAAGCTTCCGGCTTCACACAGGCACCGTCTGCAGATGAAGTGGTTTCTTCATAAGGTTAAAGATGCTGCCCGCCCACTCACACGAGACCTCGCAGGCGGCGAGCTGGCGTCGTTTGAGGTGCTGGCAGCGCCTCTCTTTGCTTCGCTTCTACAAGTTCATTCTGTGAGCTATGCTGACTTTCTTCAGTCCTTGGTCTCTGGGAACCTCTCGGGTGGCAAGCGGCTAGCCTGCAATCTGGCAAGAGATTGTTGGCTCCATCCTCGGCTGTGCCTTACTTCTTTAGTCTTCTCCAGGACCGAGGCTTCTGGCAAGTCCGGGGAGATATTCTGGCGGACCCGCGATCAAAGATATGTTTTGAAAACGGTCTCTGAGCAAGAGGTTGGCCAGTTGATCAAGATGCTACCCGAGTACAAGGATGTCAGTGCTGTTGTGCAAGCTGCTTCTGTAACTCACTGGACGAGGGCACGTGTTAAGTTTCCGATAGGCTCCTTGACACGCAGTGCCTTGTAGGAGCACTTGGAAGGCAATCCTCACTCAGTCCTTACCAGATATTATGGGGCGTACCGGTTCCACTTGAACGGGGAGAATACCTTCTTTGTCGTGATGAGCAATGTCCTCGCGGGTTTGGGCGAAATTCAGGCACTCTTCGACCTCAAAGGAACCACCGAAGTGCCTCGGAATGGACCTAAGTTTTGCACACTTTGCAGCTTCGCAGCGTGCCCATGAAACATACAGACGCTTTAGCACACCGGCCCTTCTCCTGAGGATCGATGGGTTGACCCCAAAACCTGCGGCTGCCTCAAGGATAACAACTTCACTCCAATCACACTGTTCTTGGACAGGCAAGATGCGAAGACGATCAACGATTGCTTGGCTGCTGACACTGCTTTCCTTCAGGAGCAAGGCATCATGGACTACTCACTGCTTGTGGCCCTTTGCCCACCTGACGACCCTGTGCCTGTGGCAGAGACGGCTGGGCATCACCGAGTGTTCTCAGCGAAGGAAAGCCGGGGTCTCTGGGGAGAGACTCGAGATTGTACGGTCTGTCTTGGTCTTGTTGATATGCTGGTAGTCTATGGCTGGAAGAAGAAGGTTGCCCACCTCTTAAAGGCTCTGACTATTGGTTGGGTGGATGAGATCGACACAATGCCGCCAGACATCTATGCCGAGCGCTTTTGCAACTACTTCGCCAAGAAGATTCGACCGTTTGCATCACTATTGCAAGTGACAGCAGTCCCGAGCAATCTCTTCAAGACGCCCTGCGGTGCCTTGGGACGATCTGGTGGCACGGCTAGCTTCTTTGCCACTGAGCTTTTGCAGCAGGAGCCCTGCTCAGACATCAGGCTGACCTGCTGAATTTGAGACACATCACGCACAGGGTAATCCGTAGAATGTCTCGCCTAGGTCACACCACCAGAAGGGTAGCTTATGATGTGTCGATAGGCCTGAGGAGAGGTGGTTGGATGTCAAGAAAGGGAACAAGTTGTGATTCAGGAATACTCAGTGCAGGCAAACTGTAGGAAGTGTTTGGATGCTCATTGAAAATAAACAATAGCCGGGGTTTTGCATGTTGGTATTGAATCCGAGGATTACCTGAACTGTTTCGTTTGTTATGCTTGATTTAGGAAAAGTGGCCGAACATACAAACCATTGGAGAATTCAGGATAATTTAAGTTTTCATTCAACGTGAACATTATTCGGTGGAGTTTCATGCACTCTTCTTGAATTCAAGAAGAAACAATTTGGGAAATATTCGGGATTTTTTGTTGGACATGTGTACATTTTTTGGTGTTTTCTGCATATTTGTATCGAAATCGAAGACTTTCTTGTGTTCGGTTTTCAAAACTTTAGGAATATGTTACCATGAGGCGAACATAGGAAATCTAGGGGGTTTCGCTGAACATGAATAATATTCAGTGTTGTGCTGTGCTCAGGATTCTGCGCCGCAATCCTGTTTTGCTATTTGTTTCCTAGGTTTTACCTGATTATTGTCCAATTGTTAGAACAAGACAAAGACACACAGATAAGACAAGCTTAGGGTTGTCGCTGAACATGAGCTATCTGCGGTGTTTTTGTCTGATTCGTGTGTCCAAACCGAAGGTTTCGCGCCGAAATCCTGTTGTTCTTGTTTGACACAGTCATGTTTGTCCATTTTTTCTTCTTGTTTCATGTCAGAACACTTCTCAGTTCAATGGACTGGTGACTCTAGTCCTGTACCGCGTGTCATAATGATAGTCGATGCGCAAATATTGCACGTACATATAGAGTCTACTGCATTGAGTCCCGGGGCAGTGAATTTCCAAGACAATGGTGTTGTTCCCGAGTGCCCGAGGAGGGAGCACAAGGTGAGGAGAGCAAGCATTATTGGCTCGGTAAAGACTTGGCCCGAGCTCGAGATGAAGTGGTGTTCTACGAAGTTGCCAAGAATTTGCAGGGCAAAGACGGCTGGCAGATCCTCAATTTTATGACGCCTTATAAAGGTAAGAGCCTAAGATCGCACAGCTGCCAGCATGTGCGCGAGCCTTCCAGCTTTGCTTGCCATGCACTGAAACGGCGATGTTAAGGCGTGTGTCGTGCTCCTTGCGCAGTAAAAGACGGCAAAGAAGCCGAAGATGTCGACTTGAGTCTCGGAGGATAAGCCATCACGAAGTGCACGTGTTAACAATCCGCACTTTGTTTTCAGGGAGTGGAGAACCAAGAAAAGCCCTGCCAAGCCATTGGAGCGCACGCCCGGAACACATAAGCAACCTGTCATCGAGGTTGCCTTTGAGGTGGAGCAAACGAAGCTGTTTAAGTGTCCCTGTCAACGATGTTCTGCGTTTACCTATGGCTTGTAGTGACTTGGGTAGTGTGCATGTCTGAGAGTGCTTGTGGCAAGGATGTTGCTTCGGAATTGCAGAGACGGCATGGTCAGTGCACGGATGCTTGACATCAAGATGGGCAACGTCACTGCTGTCGGTGGATGGCAGGGCAAGGGCAACATGAAGGCGTTTGTCCAGAGCTCAGGCTGCAATCGTCTCGATATATTTTTTTCTGGCTTGATTTGTTTGGTTTGTCTTTCTGCCACTTTGAGCCTCCGATGTCATGCAAGGAACATTACCGTGGACTCGAACACGAACTCAGCTGGAGAAGGCTTCCGTTGGCTCCTCAAGTGCGAAAGCCTTCAGGAGCTCTTCAAGTGGTGTTCTTGAGAAGACTTTGTATGTGGGGCTTCGTTTTCTCGACCCTGCAGGGATCAGTCCTGTCATGGAGAGTGTTCTTCATATGTTCCTCCATGTAAGGCGGTCCCTCTTCAATAACTCTTCATTGAAGATGAATCTAGAAGCGTGTTGCAGGTTGCATCTAGGCCTCGAAGGGTCCGACAAGCCTCCGGCACTTCTTCGAAGCCAGAAATGAGAGTCAGGGATC